CAAAGCAATCCCATACCATGACATTGCAACCTCTATACCTCACAGTTAACTTGAGGTATTTTCCTGATATCCTCGATTTTACTCATGCTAAACATTTGTGCCTCATCTACCCAAAGAAAATAATCTTTGTCTACATTTTTATTAGTCAATCTTCAGTCCTCCAGTCATGTTTTTCTTGATTAAGAAAGAATTCCTTTGTTTTTTTGTGCTCTTCCCCATGAGTGTTACAGTAAACATGTCCAGTCTGTTTCAAATTATACAGGTATCCATTTTCATATCATATATATATATATATATATATATATATATATATATATATATATATATATATATATATATATATATATATATATATATATATATATGTGTGAAATTATTATATTGACACAAAATGTCCCTGTTTCCATGAGCCTGTTATATATTTTATTTCATTTCCTTTAGAAATTAACCCCAAAATCTAAAAGGACTGGTGCGATCAAAGCCCATTTTGTTTAAAAAGAATCTTTTTCATAAGAGGGAAATAAATTTCTACTTTCTATATTTTTCTACATACTACATAGAAATATAAATTGGTCTGACCAGAACAGCAGTGTTCTTTATTCAGCTGTAATGAGTGTTTTAAGTCAGCAGGGGGCAGAGTAAATACGTGAGGTCACTCATGGTTATATTATACTTATTATGGTTGTCCAGCATAGGTGAGTTTTCCAATGTGTCTAGTTTCTTTGAATGAATACACAAGTACTATTAGAAGTTATTTCATGAAATCTGTGCCTCTGTACTGTTTTTCGTTTTATTCAACAGCTCCTGTTGAGGAATAAATAAAAAAGACTCCAATAAAAAATAAACACTGCTCTTGAACAATAACACTTAATTTATGTCCATACAGGCTCTTTATAATGTCATTTTGTAGGATTACATCACATTTTGTAATATATGATAGTCTTTTTGTAGGAGCCATCAATGATGGCTTATAAACCCTAACTAACACCTCACCCAGTGCATTTGATTTACATAAGTTAAAGAACTTCAACATTTTCAAGTTAAAGCTATTTAAATATAATTTTTTTTTATTTTAGAGATAAATAAAATATATATTTTCATTATGTAGTAGATATGTGTGTGTGAAAAATGACAGTGTATGTTTTAAAAAGAATAAATCAAACATATTCTGTGAGAGTACTAAGGTTCTGAAATGTATATAATTTGCTTTTGCATGTGTTCTGTTTGTTAAACAGGTGCTATTTGCCAAACACAGGATATTATTATTCTAATTATTTGTGTTATTTCATCTTTTTTTTTTTTTTTTGAGAGGGACTTAAACTTTGAGTGAGAAAATCTAACTTTTTTTTTCTTCTTTAAATCTGATAACTTCACCGTCTGTTTACACACCTTTTATATCAGCTCCATGCCAAGATACATACCTGTAGTAATTTATCCTTGGCAAAATCCCAGAGTCATTTTGCATGCATAGCATTTTATGAGACTTCATGAAGTCCAATAAAAATGTCCTGGAACTTTAGATGCACCTTATCTAGTTTCAGGAACATAAGAACTGTCATTTCAAAACGAAGCGGTGTGAAAACCGGCGGGGTAGTATCAGCATGAAAACGTAAGCATGTTATGGAAGGCTGTGAAAAATAAAGTGCAAGAAAAGCCAACCTTTTTCCCTTTTTTTTTTTTAATTAGGAGTAGGGGATTCCCAAAGGTTTGCACGATCTTAGGTGGAGGAGAGTGTGTGGAATAGAGGGGTTTCACATTCCTGTTGGATGGCATCAGACTTCCCATCAGCCGAGTTGGAGCAAATTGGAAAACTGCCCCATTTTCCAAAGCTGAAGTGAAATAAAATGAAATGAGGAAACAAAGTAAAAGTACTCAGTCCATATTCTTGTTTCTTGTTTTCTGTTTTGATGTGGTGCAGGATACATTTCCGGTTAATCTATCAGCTGATTAGAAGTATTGCCAATTTGATTAGAGTTTTAGTTAAATAGTGGATGACACAAGGCAGCTGTGGTTGGTTTTTGTTAATCTTTTATTTGAATTTACTGCAAAGGATCTCTGAGGTAAGAATCTAATGGCAGAGGGAACAATGTATACGACGTGCTGGGTATAAAATGAACCGTTGGATAAAGTGAGAGTTGTTGCCAGACATTCCAATGCAGTGACACACACTTACACACAGCAGACTTCGACAGGGACACACTTATTGTCCTTCTGTTCACTGGTTCAAGCTGCTAACACAAGACAATGAGACTTTTAAGTGCTGTGGGGAAAAAAAGAAAAATCAGCTTCTCTCAAAAATGATAGGGGTAAACATACCTGGGCCTTGATTTTAAAATCAAGCCTATAGCCTATGTAGACTTAGACATAAATATTAAGTTTGCTGTATTTATTATTATTTTTAATGGACAACAATGACTGCGTTAACCCTTTACTGTCCAATTGACCATTTATGGTCCAAATTGAAATTTTAAGTAACTTGGATATAAACACCACATTGCAGCAAACAAGGCAAAATTGTGAGGTGAAATGTGGTCTGCAAGGTCCACCTCTGTCTTAAAGCTGAGTGCAACTGCCTCATTGAAAACCATCAGTAATACAGTATAATGTTGCCCATTGTGTGGGAATTGTCACCTGCTCTAAATTCAGTATTACAAAAAGTTAATCACTTAAGTTAAAAGGTAAGAAAATTAAGTTCCTTTATTGGTATTTATATTCTAATTGTTATGTTGTAACAAAAGTGTTTTTTGTGTACGTTTTTGTCACAAATTTCATATAAAAACACTGTGACTTTTTTTATTTTAGGGCCAGTGATTTTACCAAAGCAATAAGGTCTTGTTTTTCCTGCAATAACAGTCTTGACTTGAAATTTTGAATTTCAAAGCGTTTCACTGGGTCAAAGGTCAAATGGGTTATTCAGATTTTTGAAGGGAAATTCTATAACAAAAATCCCCATCAGCAATAGTTATTTTATCAACAGCACATATTCTTTTTTATTATTATATATATTGCTAAATTCCTGGAGGCCAGGAAAAAAATTGACTTCTGTTGTAGAAAACAACCTAAAAAAAAACAATGTATGTATATATATATATATATATATATATATATATATATATATATATATATATATATATATATATATATATATATATATATAGTATTATAAGTATTATATATGTTATATAATTGTACATATATGTACATATATGTAGTTATATATTATATATTTATGAATATTATTATTTTAAATATATATGTTTTAAATTAAGTATATATATAAAAGAGGATATAAATATATATATATATATATATAATATCTTATTTACAAAATACAAAATAAAAAATTTAAATAAAAAAACATATATATTATATATTATTCATATTAAATAATTATATATAATGATAAATATTATTTTAAATATATATGTTTTAAATTAAATATATGTATAAAAGAGGATATAAATATATACAGGTGCTGGTCATAAAATTAGAATATCATGAAAAAGTAGATTGATTTCAGTAATTCCATTTAAAAAGTGAAACTTGTATATTATATTCATACATTACATACAAACTCATATATTTCAGATGTTTATTTTGTTTAATTTTGATGATTACAAATGACAACAAATGAAAATCTCAAATTCATCATATCAGAAAATTAGAATATTGTGAAAAGTTGACCCTGGACCTCAGAAAACACAATGGACCAACACCAGCAGATGACATGGCACCCCAAACCATCACTGACTGTGGAAACTTTACACTGGACTTCAAGCAACGTGGATGAAGTGCCTCTCTTCTTTTCCTCCAGACTCTGGGACCTTGATTTCCAAAGGAAATGCAAAATTTACTTTCATCAGAGAACATGACTTTGGACCACTCACCAGCAGTCCAGTCCTGTTTCTCTTTAGCCCAGGCAAGACGCTTCTGACGCTGTCTGTGGTTCAAGAGTGGCTTGACACAAGGAATGCGACAGCAGAAACCCATGTCTTTCATACGTCTGTGTGTGGTGGTTCTTGAAGCACTCACTCCAGCTGCAGTCCACTCTTTGTGAATCTCCCCCACATTTTTGAATGGGTTTTGTTTCACAATCCTCTCCAGGGTGCGGTTATCTCTCTTGCTTGTACACTTTTTTCGAGCACATCTTTTCCTTCCCTTCGCCTCTCTATTAATGTGCTTGGACACTGAGCTCTGTGAACAGCCAGGCTCTTTAGCGATGACCTTTTGTGTCTTGCCCTCCTTGTGCAAGGTGTCGATGGTCGTCTTTTGGACAACTGTCAAGTCAGCAGTCTTCCCCATGATTGTGTAGCCTATAGAACTAGACTGAAAGACCGTTTAAAGGCTTTTGCAGGTGGTTTGAGTTAATTAGCTGATTAGAGTGTGGCACCAGGGGCCATCAATTTTGAACCTTTTCACAATATTCTAATTTTCTGATATGATGAATTTGAGATTTTCATTTGTTGTCATTTGTAATCATCAAAATTAAACAAAATAAACATCTGAAATATATGAGTTTGTATGTAATGTATGAATATAATATACAAGTTTCACTTTTTAAATGGAATTACTGAAATCAATCTACTTTTTCATGATATTCTAATTTTATGACCAGCACCTGTATATGTATAAATATGTATATATATATATATATATATATATATATATATATATATATATATATATATATATATATATATATATATATATATATATATATATATATATATATATATATATATATATATATATATATATATATATATATATATATATTTACATATGTATATATATATATTTATTTATTTTGTTTTTCTAATTATCCTGTGATATATTGTTTGTCCACATACTGTACGTCATTCACGCCTTGGGTTGGTTTGTGCAGAAACGCAGCTGACTAGCTTAACTTTTCGTTGCAACATGAAACGTTCCAGCATGTTTAAAATGTTTCCAATATTCAAATGAACCCCTGAACGCAGCACAGAGTACAGCGTGTTGTCCCACCGCAGACAGTCTGCAGCCTCTGCTGTCTCCGCCAGGCAGAGCAGGGAAGCACAGAGCCCAGCAGCGACCTGAACTCCTCAGGCCATTTGGTTTCAAGCTGAACGGATTGATTGGACACCTTTGAGTAAGTGTTTGCCCGTTTCACGCCATTGTTCTCCTCTTACTGCCACTTCAGGCAACTTTGCACAAGTTTCTTCAGTGGTTTGGCTGTGAGAACACCTTTAGGGAGGTAAAATCCTCTCAGACCGGTTGGACAGTGCAGCTCTCGCTTTTACGAACGTTTTGTCGGTATTTTGGAATAGTTTTGCTTGCATTTTACCTCTCGTTGACTCAGTCCCAGACAAACAGAAAGTATAATGAGGATGGCAGGAGGTCCTTTCGTTTGTGGTTGTTTTTGGAGGTTACCCGCGTGAAAAGAATGACATAAAAGCACGTGCTGAGAGCCACGGTTGTATAGACAACCCCAGCCAAATGAAGTGGCTTTTAATTTTGCCCAGATTTAGTGTATTTTATTGTTATATATGCATCTAACCTCATTCTAGTACAGGCGGTGTTTGTGCAGAGCAGGTCTGTGTCAGTTTTCACGTTTGACAGCTGATGTCAGTGTTTATTTACACTGGGGGTCTGAGGAGAACTAAGAGGGCTTTACTCATTTGTTTACATTGTTTCTAGGTTAAAAGTAAAGGGATGAATCTTTGCAGCTTAAAGAATCGGAGGAGAGTTGCTATGATGTTGGCTTTCCCTATTTGCGGTCAAAAATGTAACAACAACAAAATATATTGTCTGTCTTTCTATCTATCTATCTGAATATGCACATCAATCACTAAATCTACCTCTATATACATAGATATATATGGAAAAGGATTAGGACCACTGAAAAAATAATAAAAAGTTGACTAATTTTTAAATTTTATTTCAGTTTAATATGGGAATTTAGAATCCTGAGCAAACAGTCGGAATTCTGAGATTAAAGTCGGAATTCTGAGATTAAAGACGGAATTCTGAGATTGAAGTCAGAATTCTGAGATTGAAGTCGGAATTCTGAATTCTGAGATTGAAGCCGGAATTCTGAATTCTGAGATTGAAGCCGGAATTCTGAATTCTGAGATTGAAGCCGGAATTCTGAATTCTGAGATTGAAGTCGGAATTCTGAGATTGAAGTCAGAATTCTGAGATTGAAGTCAGAACTCTGAATTCTGAGATTGAAGTTGGAATTCTGAATTCTGAGATTGAAGTCGGAATTCTGAATTCTGAGATTGAAGTCGGAATTCTGAATTCTGCGATTGAAGTCGGAATTCTGAGATTGAAGTCGGAATTCTGAGATTGAAGTTGGAATTCTGAGATTGAAGTTGGAATTCTGAATTCTGAGATTGAAGTCGGAATTCTGAGATTGAAGTCGGAATTCTGAGATTGAAGTCGGAATTCTGAGATTGAAGTTGGAATTCTGAATTCTGAGATTGAAGTCGGAATTCTGAATTCTGGGATTGAAGTCGGAATTCTGGGATTGAAGTCGGAATTCTGAATTCTGAGATTGAAGTCGGAATTCTGAATTCTGAGATTGAAGTCGGAATTCTGAATTCTGGGATTGAAGTTGGAATTCTGAGATTGAATTTGGAATTCTGAGATTGAAGTCGGAATTCTGAATTCTGGGATTGAAGTCGGAATTCTGGGATTGAAGTCGGAATTCAGAATTCTGAGATTAAAGTCAGAATTCTCAGATTGAAGTCAGAAATCTGAATTCTGAGATTAAAGTCAGAATTCTGAGATTAAAGTCAGAATTATGAGATTAAAGTCAGAATTCTGAGAAAAACTTTTCTCAACTTTTTTCCCATATTAAACTGAAATAAAATTTAAAAATCAGTTAACTTTTTTTTTTCCAGTGGCCCTTATCCTCTTCCGTAGATATGTGCTTTATTCATATGTAAATATTTTTTTTAATTGAAAATAATATATTCAAATAACATTTGGGTTAACCTGCACATCAGCTCACCTGTTAACCAATCACCTTGTCTGTAACACATAAGCCCCTCCCACTGAGAACAACTGAGTAATAAAATTCTGTAATTTAAATGCTCCAAAACAAATTTATAAAGTAGCTATATAACTACATATCTATTTCATTCTGACGGGGTCTTGGCTGCATCCAGCAGTACCGGACGGTGCTGCTCCCCAGCCGGCTCCTCTCGGCCCCCTCCGGCTTCCACACCTTCTCCAGCATTGTCTGTCGCTGCTAAACCTGCCGATGGCACCACTGCTGCTTCAACCACGTCAGCCTCTTCAACCCAATCATCGTCCTCTTCCTCCCCTGAGCCAGGAGAAGCAATGCTTCAGGAGCTGGAGAATTAGCAGCTCAACAACAACTGCAGCTTACCTTATCAAGGCTACACTTTAAAGAATGAAATTGTCTAAACAAAATTTCTTTTTGTTTACACTTGGGAATACAAAATGACAAAATAAATCTAAGTCTAAAGCAGCTTGAACCTGAGGAGCAGTGTTTCACATTATTATCTTGGGTTCTCTGGCTTCCTCCTACAGTACTAAAAAATAAGATTGAACAGTTTGATATAAAAACAACTTGCATAGAATACAGAAAAAAAATAATAGAATCTTATATTTATTAGTGGATTTGCAGGTTGTTGTTGCAGCAGAAAAGGACCCCACCGCATCTTTAGCTCTAATTGTTATTTAGCAAACACAGAAAAATAAGGAGTTTCTAACATAGCACATGGGTTCGACAACAGGCCGGGAATGTTGCCTGTCGTGTGAAAGAAGAAACACTCGGCCGACTTTGGAAAACAAACAAACCGGGTTGCAGCCTCTTATTTACAGTGCAAATTGAGATGCACATTTACAGTAAACACTTGATGAGGAATAAGATGTCACATTTGCTTTATTTACAGAATGACATTAGTCTGTGACGGATGGCACAGTCAGATGTTTCCATTACATTTTACAACTTGTCTGAAACTGATAAATAGACAAGCAAATAAAAAAAAATAGGTTGGCATAACAGGCTTGGGGCTGTTAATATTGGCATCAAATGAAAGCAAAACTGTTGTATCCTATACAGTTCTATCAAAACGATTTTTAACTTAAAGTGTTGTTTAGAAATTTATTTTTTTGCGCCACAACTCTCAGTGGTGGAACATATTCAGCAGTGACATTTTCTCTCAATGCAATTTCCCCCCATTTGATTCTTGGTTGTGGGACATTTGTTGCATGTCTCTTTTTCTCTCTCTTTGCCTTTCATCCTATCTTACTATTTTTGAATAAATCCCACTAGTGAGCTAAAAATGTATTCAAACACTGTATTTTATAGTTACAGTAAGTAAGTCAGAAATCAAACTTTCACTTGTACGACATTCGTTTGGTTTAAAATTTAGCCTGTCTTTAACTGAATCAATTTCCTTTTGGCTGATTTTTAAATTATCTGTATGTTTTAACTTAAAATAATGACCTGTGGAACATTTGGATGATTGGGGTGGAGGATTTTCATGACGAGGAGTATTGAACAGAAAAAATATGCCTTGTTGGAGATGTTTTCATAGAAGCTACAAATACTCTAGATGCTTTCACTGCAAAAAAGGAAATCTACATAAGTCATTTTTTCTTGCAATAAGTGCATTTTTTCTTGAATTGACGGGGTTATTGAGAATGAAACAAGACAATTTACATTTAAAATAAGAAAACACAATTGCATTGTCTTATTTTAAGTGCATATTATCTAATTATCTTATTTTAAGACTAAAAATAATCATTCCATTGACAAATTATCCTATTTACTTACTCAAATTAATGGTAGATACACTTAATTTAAGGCATTTTTTCTCATTTTTAGATGTTTTTTTTGCAGTGTTCTGATTGTCAACATCTGCTGCAGCTGCTTGGATGGCTACATGCATGTTGCATTAGTTAACTGCTGAATTTATCTAAAATAGTGTTGTTTTTTTTAGTTCGAAAGCACGTTCCATTTTCTGTGGTTCTAAAAGCTCATGGCTTTGTTGCTTTGTTGACATATTGTATTGCATAGTGTTTGACTTTTGGAAATGCATTGTATCAGTAGTATTGAGGAAACCTTTTATGTACATGCTTTTGCATCAAACAGAGACACAGATCTTAATTTATTGCAACATAAAGGTTTGCTATGTTAACATTGTCTATCATACAGATGTTACACTGTGCTTTTTATTCAATTTTTCTTATGTTGCAACCTCAAACCTCTGTGTGCTCTGTGGGGATTATAGAGTAGAGCAAAAATTGCGAACCTGGAAAATTGTGGATATTTTTCCAATTAGTTTTTCTTACAAATGAAATTCTAAAGTAAAACAATAAAAAATAATCCAATATAAATCCCGTAGATCTAAATTTGGCTTACCTCACCTTCATAAACCTACAGTAAAACCTGTGTAACCAGCTATGTTTAACAGTCACCTAATAAGTAGAAGGGGTCCAGCAGGGAGTCACTTAAAGGAATAGTACACCCAAAACATGATTAGCCTTCATTTTCTACTCACCCCCATGCTGAACAACACTCTGGAGTACTTTTTTGATATCTCAAATGCATCTGGAGATCTGGGAGGCTTCTTGCTGTCTGCTGACATTCAAATAATGGAGGTCTATGGTGACCGAGACAGAAAGGTCCATAAAAGTCCACAAAAAACGTGTCAATATTCCTCCATACTGCTCGTCCAATGTATTCCAAGTGTCCTGAGTGGGTAGCATCCAGAATTTACTCGAAACGAAGTCATTTAGAATGTTTTTAGAGCATAAACATTAGTGTATAGGATTTCCTGAAAGCGCGCTCACGACGCTACGGAAGCCGGCAGACCAAACCAGCGCATTCAGCTCGGCAAAGAACTCATGCTCTTCCTCAACACTGAAGTCCTCAGATATTTTTCTTTCGTTGTTTCTTTCTTTGCACAGGTAAACAGCACATTTCTTCTTCTACGCTTGCATTATTGGCAGAGCAGACGCTGAATGCGCACTTTCATCTGGTTTGGTCGCGCTTTCAGGAAATCCTATACACTACTGTTTATGCTCTAAAAACATTCTAAATGACTTCGTTTCGAGTAAATTCTGGATGCTACCCACTCAGGACACTTGGAATACATTGGACGAGCAGTA